CAAAGTTACTACAACAGTTTTGTTCTTTCTGAGAAACAACGCCTGTCACTGCCACTCCCAAGAAAAAGGAAGCAAAGCAAAGCAACAGCTGCTCGCGCTGGCACTGAGGGAGAAGAGGGAGCAGTCCTGTGCTCCCCTTTCCTGGGGGAGGTGCATTCCAGAACTTGAAGGTGGGGTTTGGGCTGTGGGTGAGGCTCATGCCCAGGGTGGGGGGTGCACATACAAATTCTCACTAAAGCCTCCCAGCAAACCAAATTGTGGGTTTTTAGTACAGGTGAGGAGACAGAGCTTTGAGACTCAGAGAGTTAAGGAATTTACCCAGGGTCATACAGATAGTCATGCAGAGGCTGGACTTGAAGCCACGTGAGAGCACTCATCCCACCTTAGCAACCTTCACCTTGGCCCTCGCCTGCCTTTGCTGAAATCAAGGGGGACCTGTATGCAGGCAGAATATGCTCTGTCGTCCCATTTAGTCTCATAATTGGAACTTGGATTAAGAGTTTAATCAGCTGAATAGTCTGCCTTTGGTTTCTTCCTATTCTGTGACATGTTCCTTTTTGACACATTTCTAAAATACAGATTGGGAGGCCGAGAATTTAGCTCAGAGGCAGAGTACCTGCCTGGCAGGCACACAGGAGTCCGCTGGCTTGGCTTACTTGAGACTGGTCTGGGGATGATTTATCTCAGTGGCAGTGCACTTGCCTACCATGTACCAGGCCCTGGGAAGATTCTTACTACCACAAAATAATGTGAAAAACTACTCAGCCCAGCACACACAGCCTCCTACCTGACTCTGTCCTCATCTCTACCCTCTGTCTCCACACAGGACTCCTGTGCAGTCTCCTAGCAGGCTAAGTGCTGGGCTATGGGTGCCAAATATTGAAATCCAAACAATGAATATTGTAATCCAAATGCTGTATATTGTAATCCTTTTAGTTCACTTCATAATCTAGAAAGTTAGATTTGTAATTCCATAGATACGTTACTGAAATTCCAGTGAGTTAATTTTAATCTGCTACCTCCAATGTAAACCCTGGTGAGAGTAAAGACACTAAGACATACTCAAAGTTATGGGCAGCCAGAGGGTCCTGAGTCCCATCCAAGTGGGAATATACAGACGAAGGCCTTGACCCAAGGCCTCGCCCAGAATTTATTAAGCTGTAAAAAAGAGAGTGGTTCAAGGATGAGTGACAGTGAGGATGGCAGTAACTATGTGAGTAACTTGAGCTGGCTGGCCCACTGGGGAGAAAAGCATCTTTGCAAAATGCAAGGGAAAAGATACGCAGAAGGATCAGTCTGCATGGTTTAATTAAGGTATCAGAGGCTGTTGCTTTAGTTTCTGATATATAAACTTTTGTGCCCTGGGTAGTCGTAGCCTCTTACTTTGAGCCTCATACCCAGCTGACATTCCTGGAGCTGAATAGCTCTGCCATCCCACTGCACGCAGTCTTGTGCAGAGAGCATTAGAGGAGAAAACAGGAAACTGTCAGGTTGGCCTCTGGGATTGCATATTAGTACCTTGGCTAGCCTTATTTGCATCAGTTAGAGCCCATTAAAGGGAGAAGAAAATAGCATGGTCCACTCTGTGCATATCAGTATATAAAAATAGGACTCTAATTAATCTTGCAGTAATTGCATTCAAGGAGAAGTGATCAGGTAGTCTTCTACACTACCCTGGTTACACTGGCCTCTAACCTTTCCAGATGGGAATCGTCTTCCTAACATCTCTCCATCCATGGAAGCCAGGCCAAGTTGAGGGACAAGTGGCATGCAGGGTGACAGTGTTACTTTTCATGTGTGAGCGTATGGTACTGGGGATTGAACCTGGGGCCTCCCAATTGAGGACCCATTTTTTAAATTTTGAGATGGAGTCTGGCTAAGTTACCCAGGCTGGGTTTGAATTTATGATGCTCCTGCCTCAGCTTCTCAAAAGTGCTAGGATTGTAGCTGTGTACCACCATACTTGGCTGAGTATTACTATTATTTTAAAAATAATTCCACATACTAAATCATGCAATACTCCAGTCTGGAGAAAAGATCAATTGGAAAAGTTTCAGCCTTTAGTAGACATGCAATTGATAAGGTTTCAATAGTAAATTCAACCTCAGTTTCATATTAGCAGAGAATATTTTGTATTACAACTGGTGTCTTTTGTTTTCAGCAATTCCAAATCTACCAGAAGGCCTTTGCAGCAGCTTCCTCAATGTGTAACAAATGCTACTTTGTATATTCATCTCTTCGTGTTTAATTATAAGGATTTGAATTTACAGCACCAATTAATCAGTAATTAGATAGTACTGTACCAGAAGAAATTAAACAGAGATAAAAACAAAAACACAGCCCAGCACAAGGCGATATCATCTGTATCATTTCATGTAGCATGATTAAAATACTCCCTGAGAAATGTAGGTTAACTGGGTCATTAGTCATGCATTTCTTTGATGTCATTGTTGACCTCCAATACCAATGGGAAACCTAATCCAGACACAGAAACATTCTGATTATACTAATGTTTATTCTTCTCTTCATTCTTCATTGAAAATCTGCTTCATGATGCTCAGTAGTAATTTTGAAATGCAGTAGTAGGTTTGGCAGTGCAAAATAAATGCATATTTTATAGTGATGCATTTTCTGTTAATCTTTGTATTTTTAAAGAAACTCATACACTGACTTTTGAATTAATTATCAATAGACATCTAAAACAAAATGTTCATCTTGGGTGTGGACAAAGGAAGCCAATAAAGGAGAGAGGGGAAGTTTCCTACAGAAGAGGGCAGAGTCCCTCTAGGCTTTGGAAGACTAGGAGGACTCCTCCCTACAGAATCTGCTCATTCCCTACGCCAGCTGCATGGGCTCTTAGGCTGGTCCATAAACCTTCTGTCAGCAAGAGAAAAAGAAAACCAATAGTTGGAAAAAGAAGTCAGCAGCTCTTGTGATTTGATCTGGGAAGAAGTGACAGCAGGGCGGCCCACATGTGATCCCCAAGGCAGAAGCTGGCGCCAGTAGAGCCCCAGGGCTCAGGCAGTATCTGTCTAATGAGCCCCTCCCTGCCAGGCCCCCAGCTTAGCTTTACCTCTTTGACCATGACTACGTGGGGAAACCGAGGCAAGAAACACCCAGAATTATCTTGAAATGCTTTGCATTCTTTCCTTGGTGCTGTTTTAAGAGGTTTTTCTGCAGGAGACTGGCATCACCTCTCACACATACGTGGCTTTTGTGAACAGTGACTTTTGTAAAATCTTTAAATAGTGTGCTGAGTGAATGAGCGGTGGTTGTATATGAAATTGTTCTAGAAACTTCCACAGAGAGAATTTCATTATGCACTCTCAAGCTTGCTTCAAAGACGTACTTTTAATCACCAGTCTCTAAAATAAGTCATTTGTCTTTTGGTAAGAAATAGCATAAGGAGGGTTGAGAAGAGTTGTAGAGGAAAATATCAGTGACTGTAGTCCTTTGGTACTTAGAATGGAAAGAGCAGCCTCTCATGGTGGACACTGGAGAGCCACACCGTAATAATTTCTGTAGCTTATAGCTTGTGATGAAATTTAATAACCTTCCCATATTGGGAAACATTGCATTTGATTTGCCCCCCAGTTTAAGAATTTCTTTCCCCCACTATGTTGCATAGCAGTGCTGTTTGTGAAGTTTCTAACTTTAAAGAGGTCCTTGCTGTTACAGATTATAGAGCACACCTGTGAGTGAAAGTCACATTTTTCAAAGTAACAATTCACCTGTGGATATGGGTTATTAATCCTTTGTTGTGCTTCTTCAACTATGCCCTAATTGGCAAATGTTCATTTCTCAAGAGGTGGTACAATTTATCTGATGTCATAAATTTTTGTCGCTCTGATTTAACTTTTTTATTGAAATAAGTTTAACCAAGCTGATTTCAGTGATTGTGATCATTATCTTATGGACTTTCTTTATTTGGGGTTATCTGGATGAAATAAATGAACCAAGAGACCTCTTGATGGCAATGAATGACTGTCTGTGGCCTTCACTTTACCAAGGTGTTAATGCTTCCAGGGTCCTACTGTTTCTCCAGGAGGATGCAGAAAACTCAAAAGCAAAGGTGGAGTTTAGCACCATAATCCCATTTACACTGTAGGCTCTCTGGTCTCAGTAAATGACTCTGGCTACTGCTAAAGCCCACAACACCAGATCCACGCTCAGTCTCTGCTTTTCACTCATCTCCCCATCCCCTGCATCAGCCGGTCCCTTCAAGTCACCTCCCACTGCCCTACCCTGCAGCAAGACACTGCTGTTTCTCTGCTCTGCACTCCTACCATTTGTCTCCTACTGGCTGTTCTTTTCGATTCTGTTTTTCCTAAGATTCTCCAAATGGCAGTTCAGGTATTATGCTATAAAGATCAATCATACCATGTCATTAGGCCCGCTGAAAGCCTTTTGGTTACTTTCTATTCCACTTAGCATAGAATCAAACCCCCTTCCCTGGCCACAGGACCCCACACGTCCAGCCCCGCTGCACCCTCCTTGCTGTCGCTCCCTTTTCAGATACCACACACATTCCTGCTGCTTCACCCCTGCTGCCACTGTTCGGGGTGCACTTCCCACCCCACCAGGACCAGCTCTGCCGCCTCCCTTTTCCTTCACATGTCCCCTCCTTATTCCTGACCCCTGCAGTGCAGTCCACCCACAATCCCTGCATGGCCACCTGTTTATGACCGTCATCAAGAACCTTATCTGCAGGGTTATGACTTAGCACTGGAGCCCAGAACAGTGTCTTTCCCCTAGCACACTCCACAATAGTTGCGTGAACAGTGAATGAGAGGTCCCTTTCCTGATGTGTATAGCTTTGATGGAACAAATAACCCTCTTCACTTTAGCTTCCTCATCTATAAAACAAAACCAGCAGAACATTAGATCCTGATGATATTTTAAAGAAGCACGTATGTGATGGCAAATGGTATCTTGCTTGGCCCAGAGTGAGAAAAGATGCATAGTGTGCGTGATTAACAATGCTGCTTCCTCTCTTACAGAAAATCTTCAGAGGAGCTAGACATGGACAAGGTGACCGCAGCAATGGTACTAACCAGCTTGTCAACCAGCCCATTGGTTCGAAGCCCTCCTGTGCGGCCAAATGGTAAGTGCAGGGTGCAGGTGTGGGAAGGGCCCTTGACCCCAAGAACAGGGCCTCTCTTTGAATTTGAGAAGCCTCATTCCTGTCACATTAACAATTAACTTTGAAGCCGGAAGTACGGAAGAAGTGGAGGCACCAAGGCTGGCAGCCTCCTCCAGACCTTTCCAGAGAGCCTCCTGTGTCTCATCTGCCTGTCCGTTCAGTTCATCTCTGTTGGGTTCTCACAGTTGTTGCCTGTGAGACACATTTTTGCATTATTCGTGCTTCTTTTCCCAAGTAAGTGGAAATTGGTCTGCTGGAGTTATTTTCCTTAGCATTTTTATTGTTTGATTGGGGAGATAGTTGGATCAAAGAACTCACTAAAGACTAAAACTTTTAAAAAGCATTATTAGCCTAGACTCCCTAATCAAGTAGAAGTATTATTTAGTCTATTCATTAATTTTATACACACACATATATATGGATGTATTGCAGGTACCATCTAGATGATCTGAATGCAAACAGTGTCCACACGCCGAGAGCACAGTCTCTGAGTCACTGGTTCGAGACAAGTGCCTGATACCCACAGCTGTGCTCACATTCTCAGTGCACAGTCACCGGCTTGAAGGCAGGAAGGCTGTGGGGGAAGGGTCAGGCAGGGAAAGCCACTCCTGTCTTGGTGGCCAGGAAACAGAGAGGAAAGGCGTGGGGAGAGAGGTACGCCCTCTTAGTCACTCCCGCAGTGACCCACTTGCACCAGGCCCCACCTTCTAGCAGCACATTTAGTTCCACTCTCATCTGTGGATCAATCCACTGATGAGCATATAGCGCGCCCCATGCTCTTATCACTTTGCAAAAGCCTCACCTCTGCACACCAAGGCCTTTGGAGGACATTCTAGGTCATATCATAGCATTCTATGGGGGGGGGGGATCATCAGTAATGGCCATATTACTAGCACTTGTTGAACACTTGCTGTTTGTCAAGTACTGTGCTTACTTTATCTTATGTAACTCCCCAACAACTTTATAAGATGTTATTACTATACTGCAGATAAATAAACTGAGGTGCATAGAAATTAATTGGCAGGGCTGGGTGTTTAGCTCAGCGGCATAAGCACCTGCCTTGCAAGCAGGCGGTCGTGAGTTCGATCCCCGGTACTGATTAAAAAATGAAAAAAGACAAAAAAAAAAAAGGAAGAAATTAATTGGCTTATAAGTGGCAGAACTGAAATTCTGGTCCATGTCTTTCTGATTCCATATCTGCTCTCTTAATCATGATTTAACATTGCTTCATTTAATTCAGAATGATAAATCAAGAGAGCAGGCAGTGGGAGAGGATGTTAGATAAAGCAGGTGCTTTAACGTGATGGGCCATGTAGTCTCGGCTGGGAGTTCAGACTTCATTCTAAGACTGTGCAAGAGCTATTGAGGTGATCATGTAGCAGAAGATTAGGAGCACAGGCAAACAACCAAAACCACATGGATGGCCTGAACCTGGAGGGTCACCGTGGGGCTGAGCACAGTGAGGAAGATGAATGTAGCAGCAGAGTTCGGTGATGGACAGAGATGGAGGACAGGGTGGGGCCAGGATCAACCCTCAGCAGTTGATGTACCTCAAAAAGGTACAGGGAACGAAGGCAGAGGAATAGATTTACTGCTAAATATTTGGGCACTGAATGAGCTTTACCAGAAATGGGAACCTTTTCTCCAACACCAGAATAGCCAATCACGTTCAGTTGAGCTATGGTTTGCACACAATTAGGTTGAAAGTACAAAGTATTAGAATAAATTTGTGCAATATCCAGTGAGCCCTCATCCAAACCTACTCCAACTCCATTAGACCTACAAAGAACCGTCAAGATGGTATGAATTCAAATCATTGTCAGTAATCAGGGGTGCTGGGCAGCTTGATTCACTGTGAGCTGAGGAACCATTCCTCTGCCCATTCCCCAACCTGGAGCAGGTCAGGTCCTTTGTGATGAGGCTGGCCACACCATGCGTGACCAACCCCTCTTCTGGGGACCCCTTGCCAAGGCAGTGTCCCTCTTTACTGTTCTCAGGTTGGCAGTACCACTAACAAAGGAGTGGGGCAAAGCCAAAATATATTCTAGGAAAAAGATGGATATGTTGAAGGAAAAAATAAAAAAGATATATTTTAAGTTAATCATTATTTTTACCACTGGATTTTTTTTAATTGAAAACCTTTTTAGTGTTCCTCTATATTTAAAGGTTAGAATTAAAATAAAACTTTCAATGCAGACTTTCGTTCACATAGTAATAGAGTAATTCCATGTTCATTTACAGTTTAAAAAATAACTACTTAGGTAATAACCCTAAATGGTCTGATATTTAGTCTGCAATAGGAAGCAAATTTTTAAATAAGGAAATCAATTTATGACAGCGAAGCATTCATGTTTTTTAAAGGATAAAACATGTTCTCCAGAACAATTGTGTATGAGTGCATTTTTGGAGGCTGTGGTGGTCCCTTTCTGAGCCTGATGAAGATTATTCCATCAGGGGGAATAATCTTGTAGAGAACAGAGGTTCACAGCACTTACCAGCGAGTTTGGTGGTGATTTGCATAAGATGGGCAGATGCTGCTATGAATCAGTCACAACTTCTTTCTGAAAAATTCATTTGTACATCACTTGTCCTTCAAATGAAATAGTGTTCCAGGAAATATCATTTACAGATTGCTAAGCAAATTGACTTTTGACATTGCTGTGAAGCAGTGGAACCACACTGTAATAATGGTTCTCACAGGAAATTAATTTCCTCCTATATAAAGTGATCTCTTGTCTAGCACCACATGTTTGATTTCACTGTATAACTGCCTGCCAGGGTGTGTTGTAAGACTCATGGGCCTGCTGAGGGAGGTTTGCACAGTTGGACATGGTCTGCTCTGGCTTTCCAGCCTTCTGGGAGGCCTCTCTGGAGATCCTGTGGTACTGGATGGTGCTTTCTTGTTTCTAAGAGGCGGCTCCACTCCTCCTGGGTGTGAGTCTGCTGGCTGGAGGGAGCGAGCTGCTGATTCTGCTCTGCTGATGCGAGCTGTGAGTCTGCATAAACAGCCATTTGATCCTGGCAGAACCTTGCTGTGATGAGATGAGTAACTTCTCCTGATTCAATTTAAAATTTCACACCTCTAAACTTTTGTTTTGCATAGTTGAAAAAATCTGGAAATCTATAATTAGGAAAGGTAGTTAGAAAATTTCCCCACCAAGGCTAGTCTTCACTTCATTATTAATTAGACAGACATTGACAGTATTTTTTTAATGAGGCATTTTGGGACTTTTTTCTTCCTTGTAGTTAGAATAGTGTTTTAATGTATTCCAAATGCACATAAATATGGAGGAGAAATTATCTAGGAAGAAAGTCGAATTTATACAAATGCTAATTAAATGTGGGTATCTTGAAAGGTAAAGCAAATCTTCAGTGATTAAAAGATATTCCTCCCAAGACGTTCTAACTGGGCAAAAATCTCTCCCCATTAGCAAACATTTCCTTCCCATAGTGCTTTCTCTCACAAGTAGAAAGGTAAAATTGAGTGCAAATCCTATCAGTAATCATTGCCAATAAATTCCTAACTGATCTCAGCTTTCACAAATCGAATAGAGGAAGTTCTCATCACAGGGTCCCTCTGCACTGGTAGGATGACCGCCAGGGACTCTCCAAGGTCTCTTATGAGTCACCTGGAAAAACATGTAACTTCCTGCACTTCAGGGTCCTCATGGGTAAAGGCGGGGTGAGTGGTAGCCCTTACCGTGGAGAAGGAAGTTGCCCCAGTGTAGAGGAGGATGGCTGGGTATAAAATGCCCGCCCGCAGGATGGAGGATAAGCAGCTTGGAAAATGGCTTTGGGTAACGATCCAGAAAGTAGCATTCCTCAATTTCTTATATGTATATCCCCAAAATCATACTCTCACAAATAGTTCGTATTTTAAAAAGTTGAAGGTGAGGTTAGGAGGAGGGACACTGGGTAACCAAGTCATTGGGGAAAACAGTACAAATCACAATATCCCTCTCTGAAACTCTGCAGCCAGTAAATGCAGCCCTCCCCAAACTTCATGAGCAAGAAAACTACAGTACTTGTTGTACTTGTTCTGTTACAATCTTCACTGTCCTCCAAGGAGCTACAGAGAGAGAGAGAGAGAGAGAGAGAGAGAGAGAGAGAGAGAGAGAGAGAGAGAGAGAGAGAGAGAGACAGAGAGACAGAGAGAGACAGAGACAGAGACAGAGACAGAGACAGAGAGAAGAGAGTGTTGTCAACTGCTGAGCAGAAGGCAGGGGTCACACCATGAAAGCAGCTGCCCTCCTGGCCCTGACGCTGTCTGTCGTGCACGCAGAGGGCCTCAGCGGGTCCTGGAAGGAGACGGGGTGCGTGCCGTCAAGTACGAGCAGCAGCGGCTACTGGAGCTGGAGCGCGCCCAGTGACCAGTCCAACCCGTCCACGCCGTCGCCACCGCTGTCGGCTGACAGCTTCAAGCCCTTCCGCAGCCCCGTGCAGCCGGACGATGGCATCGACGAGGCGGAGGCCAGCAACCTGCTCTTTGACGAGCCCATTCCCAGGAAACGGAAGGTGAGTTTGCATCCCGCAGCCCCCAGCCGTTGCACAGATGCGCACTTCACCGGGACACAGTAGCAGTCCGTGTTTCTCTTTAATTGTCATGGAAGTTTCCACTTGTCTGGATTAAAGACCTAAAAATAATTAAGATGCTGATGTACCTTTTCCCCCATCCACTACACATGTCCCATCCTCTAATTATAAATTACCCACCTAGGCCTTCCCAGTGGACCTTAATTTTTTAATATCTTAAATATAGAATCTTTTGCACTTTTCTACTTTAGTCAGCTCTGAAGGGTTGTTGGGAAGAATATTTTGTCTCTCGTTTCTATACAGCCAGCTGTGAAGACTACATGAAAGCTGACATATGTACATGCTTACATACAGAAAATTAAATATTGCAAAGAAAGACTGAATTGATCGATTTTAAAAGTCCACTGATTACATTTTAGTCCTGACAGCAGTCCTGTATGGAAAGTGTCAAATGGAAACCAAGGGTCACATTTAACTGGCCCTACCACCCAAAGCCAGATTTTCCTGAACCGAAACTCGAGTTATTTTTCATTTTCTGCAGGTAGTTTATTGTGCTCACTTGCAGTTTGTAAAAAGCATTTCTATTTCCCATCATAGAATAACGCTAGAGGGAAAATTGGTATTTTAAAATCATTACATAAATATAAAACTAGATTGTTCATTGGCTTTTAAATTTTGCATTGGTAGCCTCACTCTTCATGACAGTTGACAGAAATCCAAAGCAAAGCCTTGGCGACTGCAAGGCAACCTGTTTCCTCCCCTGATTTGTTTGAGAGAGGAAGACGAAGATGTGGCACTGGTCCAGCCTCTTCCCTCTTGCATCTCTGAGCATCGCTCAGCAGGTGCAACAGTGGAGCAGGTACACATGCAGCATCTGGTTATGTTCATGTGAATAATGGCCAGGTGTTCTTATCTGGAGAAAATGATGTTAGGGTAGCCTCTTGGCCTTCCCAAAGGCAGCTGTTTCCCACCAGTCAGCCCATCAGGCAAGGCCGGTGTGGCTCTGATATCCTATGGGGGCCAGATACCCTGGACCTTGCCTGACCATGAGGAAGGGCACTGGCCTTCACATGGGTGTGTACCCAAAGCAGCCCAGCACCTTGGACCTGAAGTCTCTGCTACTTCTGGCTGCCTGGTTTCTCTCTTGTGCTGTGGTGAGCGTGTAATCCTAAATCTCCCCCAGTGGGCCTGGCAGTGTGGCAAGGCTGCATGGCATAGCAAAGCACCACTGCTTTCAAGGTGGGGTCCTGAAAGCCTGGCGTGAACTTACATTTCTAATGTAGCTGCTGAGCCAAAGTTTGTAGTTGTGCATTGCAGTTAGATCCCATTGGTTAGGCTCATATTGAAAGTTTTCAGGCATCCAGGACATTAGGGACTAGGTCACCAAAGGGAAAGGGAAAAAGCTTGCTGCAAAATGACCTCAGGTGAAGAGGACAGGCTGGCTCAGGAAGGTGCTGGAGAGTGGGTGTGAATGAATGAGTGCCAGCCCTGCATAGCCTCCCTTTTTCATGACTCGCATTTCCTCATGGTGGCACCAGTAGGGTGAGGCACAGGTCTTATACATGTTGTCACTTTGGTTCTTTGAACTTAAAAGTACTTTGAATAATGGAAGTAACAAGAAAGTAGGGCTACTGCTATTAATTTTTTCATTTATCTAGTAAGTTAATGTTTATTGATCACCTAACAGACAAAATGCTTAACACCCTGAGAATGAGGAATAGCCCCTTTCATTGGGTGATGAAATTGAGATATGTAAAGAAGTAATTGTGAAGGATACATTTGTCTCCAAGATGGGGTAGAACGCAGTAACTATAATGCAGTTAGTTAAGAGATTTAGAATCATGTATTAAAATATTTGTAAGAGTTAATTTACTTGCAATAGAGATTATTTTCTAGCTGGTAGAACTTTCTGAGTTCATCTTATTTTCATATGCATTCTTTTATGTGCATGGTATCCATTTGAAACCAGGTTAATTTGTAATGGTAGTATATTGTATGGAGATTAAGAGCTTTCTAGATCACGTTCTCCAAAGTGCAAATCTTAATCCGCTATTTGGTTGTGAATCAATTTAATGAACTGTACTGTTTAATTCATAGAACAGAAAAGAATACACTGCAGTTATATTGTCTCTTGATATTTTTGTTTCAATTGTGTATTTATGTCCAAGTGTATTCTGTGCAAAATGTGCTTCTTACGCACACTTATCATCAGAAAGGTTCAGAATCCCTGTGTTCTGGGGAGATAATACAGTATACAATAAATTAAGATGCCCTAATCAAAAATTTTAAAATGCATATTCTAAACTCAACTGTGCTACCTTCAGGACGTAAGAAAATCATGTCATAGCCAAGTGTAGTGGTAACTGCCTATAATTGTTGTATTCTGGGAAGCTGAGGCAGTGGAGTTGCAAGTTTGAGGTCAGCCTGGGCAACTTAGAGACCCTATATCAAAATTTTTAAAAGAAAAAAAAAGGAACTGGGGTAGAGTATAGTTTGAAGGTCCTGGCTCCATCCCCAGCTCCGTCAAGGCCCATTCTTTTCCATCGTGGCAGGATTCTTCCCTTGATACACCTGATACATGGTGCTCAAGAGAGAACTGTCAGCTTGAGCCAGGAATCTGGTTTTTGGGGAGGTGCAGTTCCTCTCATAGCCACAAGGTGATGCAGTGGCCCTAAATACGGCCACTCTCTAATGCTTAGTGAGAAAACAAATGCTGTGGAAGACCAAGAGTTAATTGTTGAATACACAAGACCCCTAGAACACCAGAAGTGCTGATGAGTAATTATTCATGCATTCTTTTCCATGTCAGATTCCTGATTCTGTTAGATTCCATGTCCTGTGCATCGTGAAATTGACATACCAACTCCAATATTTATGTGACCTTAAGCAAATCACTTGACCTCTCTGTCTCAGTTTCCTCATCTGTAAACTATGCAGAATGATGGCACGATGTCGATTGGGGTTGCTGTGAGCATCAGGAGAGAGGACATGGGGAGAGCCATAGATAACCACTAAGACTACATTTACCTTTAACGAAATACTGTGTCCTGATCCCACATTGACCAGATGATTCTGGGCCACCCTGTGGTCCTGTGGGATTGGTCTGGGAGGCCCCCTTACAGTGCACTGAGTGAAGCAACAGTCTGTAGCCTGGAGCTTCAGAAATACAAGGAAACCTGGTTCAGGACTCTGCCCTTGAGAGCATCAGCAGCACCAGGCTTCTTGGGTGTCACCTACTTTGCAGTTGCTGTGACCATGAATAAGCGCACCTGTGTACTGGGGCAAATCTCCAGTCAGAGTGGGAAGTGCTGGGTTAACATACAGTGCTTTGGTAATCACTGCACAGTATAAACAATGGATTCATCATTTGCTGTGCTGTACATTTTCAATCTCGGGAAACCAGAAAGCAGTGAATCACTTTGAATTGTGAATGACTGCTACAAAAAAAAAAAAATGAAGCCCTCATGAACAGTATGTTACCAGTCTCTCCACTGAACTAATTCCTAACCCACTAATTTTGAGTGAAAAGTGCCTTCTGCGAGGATCGCTGCTCCAGAATAGACCTGTTGTTAAACTGCTAGGGCAGTGCTTGGGAGAGCAGCTCTGGGTCAACTGAGATTTCTCTGGGATGACGGCATCGTCATCCAGGGCAGAGGAGCTGACTGGCCCCATAGAGAAGGCTACTGTCAAAGGAGGAGGAGATCCAAGCACTGTGGTGACCAGATCTTAGAATAACCAGCCATGCAATATAGAAGATTGAGGCATGGTGTTTCAAAGACTTCAGACATCATCTAGTACAGTCTCAACCTTTCTACATTAAAGTACCACTCAGATACATCTGGAAATGAACAGATATCCCCAAGAAGAGATGTATGTCTAAAATCAATGAATTGAAAAAATACAGAATAACTAGGGATCCCTATTATTCAGAAATCCATTTGTTGTTACAGAGATCACTTTAAATCAGTCTCCCATGGGTGTGATTTTCACAAAATAAAGCAAACTCATCCTTAGCATATAGTTCAGTGAGTTTAGACTGATGCCTCTGCCTGAATAACCACCATTCTCTGTACCCTTGGCAGTTGAGTGTACCTCCAACCGTCCACCGATCTGACTTCTGTCACCACAGATTAATGTCGCCAGTTGAAGAACTTCAAGTCAATGAAATCATACAGTGTATATGTTTAGGGTACAAAATAACAGTCTTGGCAACAGAAACGCTCATCCATTGCCGATGGAAATGTAAAGTGGTATCACTGCTCTGTAAGACAGCTTGGCAGTTTCTTACAGAGTTAAAAACACATTTACCATATGACCCAGCAATTCCATTCTTGGGTCTGTATTTACCTAGGACATAAGAAAACACATGTCCATAAGAAAGATTTGTAGACAAATGTTCATGGCAGCTTTATTCATTATCTTCCCAAACTGGAAACACCCCAAATGTCCGTCAGCAGGCGTGGATCAGTAAATCGTAGTATATTCATACAGTGTAGCACTACAGTGCAGTGAGAGGGAACAAACTGATAGCAAAACAGAGAGCAGTCTAACAAGCATCACACGTGGGGGAATAAGCCAGACACAAAAGAATACATTCTGTGCTACTCTATTTATAAAACTTTTTTGGTCTTTTTTTATTGACTCATCCCCAACAGCCTCAATCAGTAGTGCACACATTTGAATTCACTCTTTACTTTGCATTAACTTCACACACCTTGAAAATCCAAAAGTACTCATTACATTTACCCCTTTAATTTTACAAGTAAAAGAAAAACCCACAGAGATAAAGTAACATGTATAAGGCAGCTTTCCCAACTAATGAAAGAACTGAAACCCTCACCAGCTTTTAGATGACTACTAACTTTTTAGTACCACAGCACATTTGTCGTTTGGTACCTGCTAAGGGTCTGAGTGGAACCCTAGACCGAGAAAGAGCCTTTGGAGACCCTGACAACTGGGCGGGTCCCCATGAGCCAGGTCAG